GTAACATTTTTGTTTCCCATAGTTCTTGTTGAAGGTTATAGTTAGTAGCAACATTTCTTAATACTTTGAAGATTTCTTGTTCACATCTTTCCAAAATTCTAATAATATTTTACTCTTTTTGAGTCATGTTGTCACATGAAATGGATAAACTATTACATGTATTAGATTGTTTTAATGTTTTATTGTTTTTCTTTATACTGATCTGTAAATAGGGTATTATATTGGATTATATAATTGGATGATCCATATCAATATGTTGTTTCTTCATGTGTTTCAGTCTTAATGTTGATCCTATTTATCTACATATATATTACTTGTTTATTGCTCTTGATATGATCTAATTGATATGTATTGCTTCTTTGTAATGTGTTGATGTGTCTTAAGTTGTTGTTTTGTTCCAACTAGATTATATTCACTTTTACGTGTTTATGTTCGTATGACATGAGTTTGATAGATCAGTTGTTGTGATTGTTTGCTACTGATCTTTACTGTTTGACCCAAGAGATCTGGATATCCTTCTAGATTTTTGAGCCCTGACTTTGAACTGATTTATCGGTTTGAATTATTGTTTCTGAAACCTTTCTTAATACCTAGAAAAATATTAATCTGTACTGGTTTGACTAAGAGCTCTGTGAAGTTGATATTGAATCTCAAGAAGCCTACTATGAATTAGTTTGTCCTTGTTTTTTCTTTTTCCTTAAGTAAAACAAGGATGTAAGAATATTGTTATTGACTAGTGTTGTCACTTTCTTGTTATCAGGAGTCAAGTATATATTATAAGAAGAGAATCTTGTTGCTATTGTTATCTCTCCTTGGGGTTGTTTCTTGTGAGAAGGTTTTTTCTTTAGAAAATTATTATAAAAGAAAATTTTCTAAAATTTTGAGGATCAATGGAAAGAGTTTTTTTTTTAATTGAAATATAAATTTACAGTATTTATAGTATTAGTAATATTAATACTATATTATAAAAGAGTTTATATAATTGAAATAAAAAATTCTTTTAAGAATTTTATTTGATTAGAATAAAAATTTAAAATTTTAACTTTTGTTTAATAAAAATTTTTTATAACTTGAAAAATTTAATAAGAGATGGAAGTTTATTATTTGTTTTATTTATTATATATTTTTTGATATTATAGTTGTTCTTTAAAAAACTTATTTAAAGAATTATATTTTAAAAAAAAATTTTTTTTTACTATAATTAATAATAATATTATTAAAATATATAAATATAATCAATATAAACTTGTTTATATTTTAAAAATTAATATATTTTATATTAATTAACCATATTTATTAAATGTTATACTATTCATGGTAGTAATAATATAAAAATAGGAGTAGCATGGATCCAAATAAGTAATACAGAAAATTAAAGTAGATTTTAAACAGGATAGATAGTTGACCCTTATTTATATATGCAGAACTAATAACAATAGTTACAATACTCCTGATAGTTCCAATAGATAGCTCAATTAAAATCTCTATAGATAATCAAGTCTGTATCTCAAAGTAAAAAATAGTTAAGAAAGATGATCCAAAAAAAATATATAAAAGATGATTAAATGATAAAAACTGGTTATTATGAATATGAATAATCAAGTTGATTAAGAAAAAAGATTTAGATCTGAAGCTTATCAAGGTTAAGGTATACTTTTGAGATTCACATAATGATGAAACAGATATTCTAGTTAAAGATACTCTTAAACTTTGGATAATAAAATGAAAAATTCTTATCTTATATAAAATTCCTATAAAAATCAAGTAGTAGAACAAAACTTTAAATAATACTATAAGACAATTTATCAAGAAAATAAATAACAAGACTATAGCATATCAGTGAATATTACAAAACAAAATAGAAAAGAAATAAAATTATCAAATTCAAGAGTAACAAAATCATATATGGGATCTAGTATGAGAGAAAATATATAGCTATACATGGAATACATCTTTCAAAAATTCTCAAAAAAATACTTCTTTATCAAACTGATAAATAATGAGCTACTAATATTGAGTAAATTGATATAAGAAGGGCAGACCTATATAAACAAGTAAATATACTATATACAATCTTCAGAAGAAAAAAACAATCAACTATGTATTATAATGTCTAATATATAAGAAACAGATAAAGAAAATATAGAATAAAAGTCTTGAATAAATTCTAACAAATTTTAGAAAACTTTTACAAGAAAAGAAAAAGGAAGCAGAAATGAAGAATACTAGATTAATAGTGAATAACAGTAAGAAATATGTAAAGTAAACAAATGGATATCCAGATTAGTAGAACAGTTCTTAGCAATTAATCAGGATACTTTAAGTTTTTTGTAGGATTAATAAGAAGCAAACTTATTCTTGAGATAGTGGATCAAAATACTATGGTAAAAAAATTGAAAAAAAAGCAAGAAGATAAATCAGGAAGCTATAAAGTATAACTTGTAATCAGTTCCAAAAAAAGATCTAAAATATAAGATATGAAAAGATGATAGAATAAAAAAAATTGTAAGGAATTCAAAAGAAGGATATAATAAAAAGATCTCTTAATCTTTTAGGTGTTAAAATTATATGATTGGAAAAGAAAGTTCCAATACTAGAGAAAGAAAGATTAGAAGATAAAGATTCAAATGATATTTTATCAAAAGGGGTTAGATTTGAAATAAGATAGTTGGATTTTGAGTATTGTCAGAATTTGAAAGAGTGATTGCAATAGTAACTTGTAGGCAATGATATTAGAAATTGAAAGAGTTTTCACCTAAACTCCTAATAGAGTGATAAATCACTTTCAAAGTTATATTTAGAGTAGTAATTATAAAGATGAGTAAGTAGTTAACATTTTTTAACTTTAGTGATTCATATTATATGTATAGTTTACAAATATTTAATAAAGCATACATACTGTAACTAGTCTGATAGAGGGTTAAAAATAAAATAAAATAAATAAATATTATACTATTCAAAAATTTAGGATCAAATTAAAATTGGCAAAATTTTTTAAAAAACTATAAAAATAAAAATTTTAAAAAGATAAAAATAGTCAATAAGATAAAAAATAAGTTCTTTTATTATACTGTATATAATGATGGGTTCCTAAAATATTTAGCATATAAAATTTTGCAGATCACTTATGTTCCTTTTTGAGGGACAAAATTTATAACTCTTCACTTTAATAGAGACAAAAATCAGGAAATATTATAAATCAATGATTTGAATAATAGATAACAATTGTAAGTAGTTTTTAAATAGTTATTAATTTAAAAATTTTAATGTTTCCTAGTGAGAGACATTTGACTTTTGTCCCTACCTCCCCCTTTAAGGATCCATCTTTAACTGTATATTTCTATAAAATTTGTTTTAAAGATAAAAAGATTTCAGTTACTTTATAATTAATTTTTCTTTTTTTAAAAACTTATAAACAAAAAGAAAAGTATAATAATGATTCTTGAAAATATTCTTTAAGTTGTTTTACAGTAAAAATATTTAATAAGTCAAAAAATTTAAAAACTTCTGTATCTTTTTGTATATGGTTAAAGAATTAGCTAGTTTTGATAATTTGACATATTATAGTAACACCATTTTATAATAGTATATATGCATGAAATATTGTTTAACGGGCAGTATTTTTTAGACCAATAAAGGAGTTCCTATCACGTGATAAAGTCATTTTTTCAGTGGTAATAATGGTCATCCTTGAATGCGTATCCGTTTGGTCTTGGCATTGATAAGGAAGTCTCGCTGGAAGAGCCGTCAATAAAAAAAAAAAAAAAAAAAAATCTCAACTTCTCCTTTACATCCCAAACAAGTCTTACACAACAGACACAGATTGTCTGAATCACATCACTCTCTGTACCTTAATTTCCGATGAGCAATCAACACAGTCGTTCAGCAATTCCGATCCAAATGACGGACCTAATCTTATTAGATAGTTCCTATATGTGGCTTACTCTTTACTTTTTTCTTAACATTGCTCTGACATTATATAACAAGGCCGTTATGCAACTATTTGAGTTCCCTTTTCCATGGACATTAACAGGAGTGCATGCATTATGCGGAGCGATTGGATCTTATTTATTCTATTGGCTAGGAATATTTTCACCGGCACGTTTGAATGAACGCGAGAGTGTGGTGATGCTGCTTTTCTCAGTTCTATATACCATAAACATTGCTATTAGTAATGTGTCTTTGTAAGTAAGCTGTTTTTAAAAACTTTTTTCTGATGTTGGGGTTTAATTTATCCACCTTTCGGTGGGTACATCCCACTGGAAGGATATGGACATATAGTGGGATTTGTTGTATCATATATACTGATTCAATATAGTGAGGTTGGAGTGTAATGATTATTTGGAATGAGACTTCGTCCAGCTGCCTAATTGATTGTCTTGTGCGCGGAAAATTTTATTCATATCTATGCTCGCTTGCTCAATACGTATCTATATTATATCGCACTGGGTTCTCATATAGACACTTAGTCACGGTACCGGTAAGTGTTTTTTTCTTTTTCCTCATTTTTGAATATTATATATACAAAATACCGACCGAGAATCTAAACCACCACCACCAGTTCCACCAAGTAGTACGAGCGATGACCCCCATCTTTACCATAATACTCTCAATTGCCTTCCTGAAAAAGAACTTCTCGACCATGACATATATTTCCTTACTTCCGGTAAGTCGACAATATCGGTTGATTACAAATTTTAAAATTTTCATTTATTTATTTTATTTTTATTTATTATTATTATTATTATTATTATTAGGTTGTATTTGGTGTCGTGTTTGCAACTGTGGGTGATTATTACTTCACAAAAATGGGTATGATCATAATATGAACTGTTGTTTATCGGAGATCTAATATTTTGTAGCTTTTACTTATAATGCTATGTTTCTTAGGATTATTTTTGACCGTCCTTGGTACAGTACTGGCTGCTTTGAAAACAGTTGTCACAAATCGTGTTCAAGTTGGTCGCCTTAAGCTTCACCCTTTGGATTTATTGTTACGTATGTCACCCTTAGCCTTTATTCAAACTGTAATCTATGCTTACGTTACTGGGGAATTGCATCGAGTTCGCGTTTTCAGCCGAACGGAAATGACTTCATCGTTGGTTTTTGCTCTTGTCACAAATGGTGTCATTGCCTTCTTTCTTAACGTTGTTAGTTTCACGGCAAATAAAAAGACATCGGCCCTGACTATGACTGTGGCCGGTAATGTAAAACAAGTTCTATCAATCATTTTGGCAGTCGCAATATTTAAATTGACAATAACTCCGACGAATGGCCTTGGCATTTTTTTGACTTTACTCGGAGGTTAGTGATCTTATCATTGGCGTATTGATAATAATGTTATGATGGTCAATTCTTACCATTTGTTCTATTTAATCATATTTTGTATATAGGCGCGTGGTATGCGTAAGTATCGTCCGTGGATTTGTCTAATCATTCTTTTTTATTTTAATCATCTAAATTTGATCTCATTATCAACAGGAAAATTGAATTAACCGAGCGAAATCGACCAAGACCCAACGATGCATTACCTTTAGGTCGATGATATCTATGCAAAGCAATTATGAGCGGGAAAGAACTTAAACAGTTAGATCGCTTCTGTTGAAGCGAAATATTATTCTCGTTTATTTCCATTGCATTCTTTTTCATCAATACAAATACACCACAATTCGCATAATTTGGATTGTACAACACTAATACCGTTTTATTATTATATTATTCGAATCCATTTGTCTTTGAGGGATAGTCAAGACCTGGATTCCTTTAGACTTCGTATTAAGTGAAATATCATTGAGTTAGATTTCTTTTTATTTTTGTTATTTACCTTGCCTAACATTGCTTGTCTTATTATGTACAAACTAAATATAAAAGTGTCGAACGAGTTAAAAAGAATTAATTTACTACACCTAACACCGAAATTATTATTTTCGAGTGAGGTTATCAAAGGAGAAACTATCTGTTTACATAGCTTTGAAGTTTAAAATGAGAAAGATGGATGATTACTCTCTTAGCAAAATCCTCTTTAAATTACCATCTTACGGAACATACGGAACAAGAAACGCCCATCCGATTCTAGGAAAATCCTAAAGGAAAAGAAAAGAACTAATGATGCTGCTGTTGCAATTCAATTTATTGAATTTTTGATTTATTTAAAATTGATATCACCTTGATTTAAATAAGAAAAATAAATAAGTATTAAAGATCAATGTGATATACTGTATAATATAGTACATGAGTTTGTTATAGCAGATATAGCAAAGTAGATAATTAAATTTATATTGTTTTTATAACCGATTTTTTCATGCTTTATAATTATCGAAAATATTTTTCACTTAATGTATTATTATAATTTAATTAACTTATAGCCAGTTTAAATTGATAGTTTATTAATCAGCAGAATATACTGTATAAGTATACTGTATATTTATTTAAGCAGCATGATACATGCTATAGTTAAATCTTATAGCAAATCTAATTAAAAGTTTCTAAGTTTGATCTTAAAAATGATTAGTTATTCCGTAGTAGATTTTAGATAAAAACTCTTTTAGCTCCTATATTATAGTTATTGTTAATTATCTTATTAATTCATTGAAATATAGAAGATTACAAAAGAAATAAATTAAAATATATAAATATACTTATGCTATATTTTTTTTCTTTCCGTTGATCCTCCTTTTTCTTAAAAATTTTCTTTTTTGATAATTTTTGAAAAAAGAACAAGGCACACTAAACCTGACTCAATAGATCCTACAAGAGCTAACAACTACACAACTCTTCTCAAAAGATATATACAAGGTTTAGCAAACATGTCACAAATAAAGAAGTATATACTTTTCATAATAGTATTATACTCTACTAAAATTTTGAGAAGAAGAAAGACAAAAAAGAAAATCTGAATCACAGTAAGGTCAAAGGACCCAACATCAACTCTCCTAGCTCTTAACCAGGTCAGTGCAAATTAACACCTTTCTAAACATTAAAAGGAACCTTCACAACATAATAGTTTTAACCAGTAAATCAGTTAGACTCAAAAGTCACAAAGACTCAAGAGAATATCAGAAATCCAAAAGTAACAGTTAAAAAACATAGATAACAAATCAATTGCAATATATAAACAACAGATATGTATTGCAAAACACATATATGTTCTCACAGTATACTCAAACAAAAACAATATTTACATGATACATCTCTTAATACAACAAATATAATATATATTCAAAACTTATCAATAAAGTTGTACCCCACATAATCAGTTACCTTATACAGATCAATAAAATAATAAACAATAGATTAATACTAAACAACAAATAGGTAAACAATCAGTAAATATATATTTACTTCATATTAATCAACCAAAATACAACAATAACAAATAAATTTATAAGTTTAACATCAAAATAACATATTTGATAAACAAGTAAATAAAATTAAATTTGTCAAAACAGTAGATTCAACACAAAAACATGTGATATAATATTAATAATATAGTAGTAAACATGAATAGAGCTTAATAAATATTGTAAATAGTAAACAAAAGAGAAGAGAATATAGTTGATACCTTAGTCAAGCTTTTACAAAAACATGATAAGCATTCAAAGCTATGGGCCCCTCAACAACTACTACAACAAAGAAGAATCAAATTTAATGAAGAAGTAGTTGCATCACCTGAAATATATACAATCTTAGACAATATTATTATCAAGATATTGAGAATTAATGAAACAATCTTTCACAAAAAACGGATCTTAACTTAATACTTATTATATCTTTGGTAATTGAGAAAAGACAATAAAGAATATCTTCTTCAACCTTATATAGAAGATAGGTTTTTAGAAATTATCAAAAATCTAGAAGAAATATGCAGATTCAAACCTCAACCAATGGAAATTATTAAATAGGTAGATAGTGAATTAGCAATAGATAATGAAATCACAATAATATGTATCCAAGAACAAGAAGAGCCAAATTCCCTAAGACTTCAAGAAAAAATTAAAAGCCATTATATTTATTGGAATGGAAGCTCAGCCTCATTTATTAACTTGATATAATAATTTATAAATTTAATTTGTAGGGAATATATATTTATATCATTTATGTTGATAAACATTCCTAGAACCCTACTTTTAAAAAATCTACCGGACGGCTTGTTGCCCGGAAATATCTGGTCAGATTAAATTTCTACTATTACCTATCTAGAAAACCTAGACACTTCTATTTTTGGATCTTCAATCCTTCTGGATTCCTTCCAACTAACTTGCCAGGCTTGACTTGCTAGTTCCGTGAAAGGAGAAGTACACCTTTCAAATGGTTCTGATGGAAGTGACGCTATTGCCAGTTTTGGTACCTTTTCCAGATTTGTTTGTGTTCAGCCATGTAGATTGTGCCTTTTATAGGGAGAAAAACCCACTTAGAACTGGAAGTGGGAAAATCCTGTTTGTATGAAACTGAAATGGAGATGATTGGTGTTTTCTTAAACCTGGTTGTGTTTTGCATCATAGATGGTTTTTTCATTCCTTAAATTTTTTCACATGGCCCTCATGTGATATTGAACTATGGACCTTGTGATTGTGATCTGGGAGCACTACCACTGTGCTATAGACCCATAGGTTTATTAAAAGCCATTATATAAGTGAACATAGCTCATATGTAACTAGAAACAGAAAACTAGCCCCATCAACAAATCCATACTTCATAAAGAAAAAAGGAAACTATAAACTTGAAGTGATGACAACTAACATTCTAGGAAAGCCTAAAAAGGAAACCAAGGCTTACTTAGACAATATATTAAACTTGTCACAAGAAAAAAGAAATCTTCTAAAGAAAGAATTCATTAATGAAAATAAATAGCCAACCTTCTGGATACAAGAGAAAGAAAATGACTTAAAATATATAGAGGAAACAAATAAAAAAGAAGACAACTTTACTATTCAGCAAATAAATTCACAAGCCATAAATAATATACATAAAACTAGAAGAAACCTAAATAAGAAAATCTTTTGTAAAACTAAAGCTGAAGAAAATATTCCTATCTGGCATATCTGCTTGATTGATATGGATCAAAAAGTGAGCAAACATTATATAGCTAAACACCTTAAAAGATATGAAGAGATTTAAAATATCTATATCTATAAGGTAAATATCAAATCTAGGATTAAGGCATATATCAAGTGATACAAATATCTTAACCTCAATCCAGAAGCAAAATAAATGACTCCAATTAGTACAGAAATGTCAAGAGCCATTTTCTCAAAATCAGAATTAAGTGATAGAGATAATATTTAGATTGAGAGAAACTATAACTCAATACAACTTCTAGGTATAAATAAAACATATACTAATTTGATAGCCAGGGCATTAAATAACATTCAAGCAAAAGTCTGCTATATATCTAAAGATTCATTTATACTTAGAAGACAAAACTTTACAGTAGTTTGTTTTGCAATAAAAGAAGATAGAAATAATATATGCAAACAATATATTTTCTTTCAAGAATTGCATCTTTCTTGGAGTATCAAATACTTTATTAACTTAGAAAAGAAGAAATCTAAAAGAGTATTTAAAAGCCCAAAAGCAAGATATGAACATAAAAAAGTAATCAATTTAACAAAAACTCTTTCCCGTAGATCCATCTTTTTTTTCAAAATTTCCTTTTTTGGTAGTTTTTAGAGAAAAGTCATAAAA